AGATCCATCAGCTAGACCTCGATCTTTCTTAATGAAAAATTTCAAAATTTTAATTCAGCTTTTCTCTTTTGATGGAAATAAAATTCATGCATGTGTCTCCAGAACCTGCTATGTCAGACACGGTCACGTGGAACTTATGCAATCCATGATGGCATGGGTTGAACAAAATTAAAGATAAGGTGAATAACGCACGATGTCAATTGTGGAATAGAGAAACAAACACTGCAGAATGTAAGGCAAAATTGAGACACATCGTAATGTCAGGTTAGGAGGGGGGGGGAGGTGTGGAGAGAGACCCTTAAATACTGAAATAGGAGCCTGAAGGCGTCAGCGGTAGGAGTATCAGTTTCCCCTCACCACTGTGGCCTTGTCATCTTTGTATAAGCGTTTTCGTCCCTTCAAAAACGCCAACATTCCAGTATGCAATGAAACGATGGAGTTGGTGCTAAATTCAACTATGCAATAATTAATAAAATCAAACTCGTGTTTTGCGGTAAGAGAATTTGATATTTGTTTCCAGGTGACACGATATGATTTTGTAAAGAATGGTGTGAAGATGACTGTCTTCGATACTCCAGGATTGGCAGATGGTACAGGTAACGATGAAAAATACCTGAAGCAAATCAAGAAAAAAGTCAAAGCTGTTGATCTTTTCCTCTTCTGCTTCGACATGACCTCNCACCTACGACCATAAGCAACAGTGATACTTCGGTTGACGACGACCATGGTAGCGAATCGATTCTTCGAAGAGAATCGGCGTTAGTTTCAAATGAAGTCGAAGAACGATTTCAAGCACGGATGCGAAAAAGGAGCGTCCAGGGACCTAGAGATGATAAAAATTTTGGAGAAAAATATCTACAAAATAGCTACGGCAAATGCGCAAGTAGTTTCGGTTACGATATTGACGATAACAATCTGGGACAGTCTGGTCGGACATCCACCACCAAGCTGGAAACAGAAAGACAAACAAAAAGCCCCCACTATTACGAAAAGGCATTTTCCCTTCCTCCGTGTTACGATGAAGCTGTAAGAAATCCACTGCATCTCCCAATGGACGAGTCCTGTTTACAAGAAATGTTTACAGAAATAGCAAAAGAAGCTTTACACAACCATAAACCTGGCAACAACGCTGGAGCGAGAGGTAGTCAGTCCAGTTTCGTAAACATTTACGTGAGATTGTTTAGGAAGACCATGGAGTTAATAAAAAGTCTTCTCCGCGGAAAGCAAAACCGAAAAACTGAAATGTAGGAGGACTTGCGCGTAAAAAATGGTAAAAATATTAGAAGAGGTGAGCATTAATCGTTCACAAAGATGTTCAACTTTTTGAAATGTTGTCACTGCCGATTTCGTCGAAACTTTGGCACTCGAAACGTTGCGACTGCTTCCTCTGATCAGATTGACATGTAATCAAAAGCAAGTTTAGCATTTAAAACTTAGAGCTGGTAGAATTAACTTGCTTCAGTGTAGAAAAAAATTACTTTGTGGACGGATAACCCGAAATAGGACAGAAATCCTGATAAAAATGAAAAAAAAAAAAAATTGATGAAGAAAGGTGCCCATCATAAGTTGAGACCTGGTTCTTGACTTACTTCTTGGGAAAGTTTAGCAGCAAAATCAGCCAATAACCTCTGGTCGGCTGATTTATCTTAAAAGTATTAACTAAAATATAAATCTGCTTGGCGTTGATTTACGATTTACACTACAACCAAACATTCCATCGTTTTATGGTCTGAAATACACAAAACTTATTTTACTCTTACGCCAGATGATGACCCAGTTTTCTTGGCCATGGCACGATTTATCCTTGTAAAGACACCCTTAATCGAAATTGAATCGCTGAATAATTGGATTTCTTTCACAAACGCGTACTGTATTTGGGAAATCAATTGTTTAAAAAGGTCATCGCGTGCATTCTTATTTATCTCTGTGTTCATCGCTTCAAAACCTATGTAACACCAAAATGTCCTCCCTTCCGCCCCCTTTGACTTTCATAACTGGACTTGGAAAACAAAAATTTAATTTAATTAAGGGTACAGGCCTAAAACAATTAATTCCAAGAGCTGGCCACGCGCCTACTTTTATCATTACTAAGGTAATGACCAATATTATAAATGCTTAAATCTGCTGGTAGATTACTTAGCGCTTACACAAGTGTGTGAATGAATTGCAGTGCATGAAATAGTAAGACTAAGAACGATTTAAACGTTCCAAAAGATTTTTGATCGTTTAATTTTAGAAAGTTCTTATATCTGAAAGGATTATTCGTCTTTGATAGTAACAGATGCACCCAATAACAACGGAAGAGAATGTGGTGTTGTCTTCTCTTTCTAAATAGAAAAAGTGTTACCAAACATTTTAACCAGAAACCTTTTACTAAGGAGGTATTTTCAAAATCAGAAAATAAATTTATGAGGTGTGCTAAGGATGTGCGTATGTTTTCAAGACCTACGATACGACTCCATTCCATTTAAAATTACTGGAAAACTCCGCCATCCCTTGTGAAAAAAAGTTTTAGAAAGTACCTATATCTGAAAGGATTATTCGTCTTGGATAGAAACAAATGCAACCAATAACAACGGAAGAGAATGTAGTGTGATCTTATCTTTCGAAATAGAAAAGGTGTTGCCAAACATTTTAACCAGACACCTTTTATTAAGGAGGTTTTTTCTAAATCAGAAAATGAATTCATGAGGTGTGCTATGGTGTGTGTATGTCTT